TTAGGGATATAATTTAATTTATATGATTTATTTATATTATTAAATGAACCATATATTAAATTTAATGTTTTTGATCTACCATCTGATAATTTACCTTTTAATATAATTGATCATCCATTTAAATATTTAATATTATTGTTCTTCCCTGTAATATTTAAGGGTATAATATTATTAAATATATTAATATAATTATTTATAATTTTATCAATATTTATATTATTATTATTATTTAATAAATATATAATATATTCATTAAAAATATTATGATCCATATATACATATGATAATTGAACTGGTTTAATAATAATCTTTTTATTATAATAATATGATAATATATTACTTAATTTATTTATTATATTATTAATTATTATGTTAATCTTATTATTATCTATTGGTATATAATAATAATATTTAATAATAATAGTATTAATATTATGCTTAAATAATGGTTTACTAATAAATAATTTATTACCATTAATCATATTTATTATTCTATATAATAATTGAATAATTATATTATTATTAATAATATTATTAATCTCATTATTCTTATTATAATTATATATAATTATATTTCATTGATTATTATTATTTAATTCTTTTATACCTAATATATTATTATCCCTTGTAATTATTAATATTTTTATTAATAAATTATCTTTATTTGATTTATTTAATAATTTAATTAAATTTATTTTCATTTATTTTTATTATATTTAATATTATTATATATTCTCCTTTTTAATATTATATATACTATAATACATATTATTATATACAATATATAATATATTATACTATACTATTAGGAACCCCCTGCTAAAACTGTGGGCTGGGTCACATATAATATAATATTAATTAAAGAGATATATATTATATATATAACTATTCTACCTTATATATAATTATATTATTATATATTATTATATATGCAAGAAGCAGATCCGCTATATATTACACGGCTACCTATTTGAATATTTATGATATATTAATATATATATTAATAGATGATATTTTATACTTGTAGAAGGAATTGAACCTATCATTATTTATTTATGAGACAAATGTTTTAAACCATTAAACTATACAAGTTTATTATATTATTATTATTATATTTTATAATTAATATATATATATATATATATTATTACCCTATATAATAATCCTTATATTAATATATATATAATCCTTATAATATGATATTATTATATAATTATATCCCCCCCCCTGAAAAAAGGGGGGGGTGTATATAACATTATACCTCCTATCTCTCAATATATATACTATATATATCCATATTATATATTATTTTTATAATATATTTATATGAATATTATATTTATAATAATATTTATATATTATATATAAATAATATGCTTTCCCCCTCCAAAGGAGGGGGGGGGTGCTATTATATAATAATATTTATTATATATAATACTTACTCATTATATAAATTTATAATAAAGAATATTATATAATAATATATAATAATATTATATGATAATATATATTATATTATGTATTCTCCCTCCGAAGGGGGAGGGAGATATTTATATTATTATAATGGGTATAAATGATATAGAATATAAAAGATATTAATAAGCCCACTGCAGGTTCCCCTACAGTAACTGTATTTCAACTTCACATTAATTAATATATTTTCATATAATAATATATATAATATTTATATATTACAAGAACTCTCTTCCTCTTATTGGGAGATTATATAAATAATATATATAATAAAAAAATATATATATATAATATAGAGATATTTATTTAAGAATAAATAAATAATATATTATGATATATATATAATATATTAATAAGATAAATATATATTTCAATGTGTGATGAGTAATTAGTGCGAAACAGTTAGAGTATTCACCGTAACATAATTATTTACGTATTACTAGTAATTCTTTTTTCATATTATCAAATTACAGATAATAATTCATATTATTAATATAATATAAAATTATATTAAAGATTAATTTGTTTTATATTATTAATTTAATTATTTTTTATATAATATTATTATAATTTTATTCTCAAATTATTATAGCATGTTTATAGCCCATATTATATAGGTCATTATGATTTGTCTTAATTCCTATTAATTATATTAATTAATAATATAATAATATATATAATTTATTATATATATATGGAGTTTTGTTCATTAATGAACTTAATCTAAAACTTTGCAGCATGAACTAAAGACAACAATGTAACACTTGTAATTATATTATTATATACTCCTCCCTTCCAATAAGGGAGGGGTCTTTATATAATATAAATATTCAAAATATGGTAAGATTATCGAGGATTATCGAATTAAATTACGTGCTCCACTACTTAAGTCTGTAACCGTCTATTGTCTTGAGTTTCATTATTGCTAATATACTCTTCAGGTGGAATACTTTAATTTTCATTTTATTTTATAATATATTATATAAAATATGTATTCATCGTTTACAACTAAAACTACACAGGTATCGAATCTGCTTTGCTACTTTAGTTTTCATTTCTCAATGTCAGTTAATTATTAATTAATATTTTCATTATTACCAGTCTTATAATTATTATTATTATTTCATCCTTACTATTATAATTCTTTAATTATATTTTAATTAACTCTAAATATTATTATTTATAATATTCATTCTACAAATCCTTTAAACCATTATGATTAACGTTAGCCTTCATTGTATAACCGCAACTGCTGGCACAATTATTTGTTAAGACTATTCTATATTATTATTATTTAATATATATTATATATATTATATATAATAATACTTTATTATTTATAAAGTAATTAATATCATTATTTTTATTATATATGGATTTTATTTTTTATCAATATTATTCATCCTAATAAGTAACTAAATCAATCTTTCGATCATTGTTTAATATTCCCCACTGCTGTATCTTATAGATATTGATTATATCATTAATCAATGTGATCGTTCTAACTCTCATTACCGATTATAGATCGTTGGCTAGGCTTACCTCTTAATAATCCTACTACCTTAAACTATTATAGGCTTGACTATAAACAATTATTATTCTTTAATAATCTTTATATATATTTTTATAAATATATCTTATTATACATTTAATATAATTTATAGTTCATTATTCCTATCTATTACTCACTTCTTCACCACTTATTTATTATCTTTTTAATAATAAACGTTTGATTCACATGTGTAATGTCCTTATTTAACGTTTAATCTGAACCAACATCATGTTCTTTATATTATTCCTTTATTAACCTATAATAAATATATATATATCTTTTTTTATTAATATTTTTATTAATTATTATATAATATATATTTATTTATTACTTATATATTATTATATATATATTATATTAATATTATATTATTTTATATTATATCATATTATATTATATATATTATTATATATTATATTATATTTATAATATAATATTTATACCATTCCATAGCCCACCCTGAATATAATTAATATTATATTTAATATATTAATATTATATATTGATTAATATGCACCCTCCCCCCCTTACATATTACCGTATTCTATCTATATTATTATTATAAGTATTCACTTCCTTAGAGGAAAAGGATACTTAAAGCATATTATTATTATTAATATTATTAATTATTAAATATTATAATTCTCTATTAAAATATATATATACTCCCCCCCCCTTCCAATATTCTAATATTTCAATATTCCAATATTCCAATAAGGGGGGGGGTATAATATTATATTCTAATATAATATGAAATATATAATATGAAATATTATTAATTAGTCTCTCAGCCCGCCCCTTTTTATAGTAAGGGTTATATTTATTAAAATAGTATGGGGTGGGTTTATAATCATACAGGGACCCGCTATGCGGGAGGGACCCGCATAGCGGGAAATATTATTATATTCACTATTATTATTATTATATCATAATACCCCTCCTACTAATTATTAGAAATCTGATATTATTATAATAAAGGTGGGAAAATATATTAATTTCATATTATTTACCTCTACTATATAATAATTCATATTATATATATATATAAGATTATATTATATATAATAACTTTCTCCTGCAAAACGGAAAGAAATAATATTATTATTATCTATATAATATATATATACTTACCTAACCTCCCCCCTCCATATTGGAGGGGGGGATTGGAGGAAAATAATAATACCATTCTTAATATAATTATTATATATTTTTAATATAAATATTATATTATTATTATTATTATATTAATATAATATAGATATATTTATATATATTATTATATATATATAATTATATATATAATTATTATATATATATATAATAATTTATATTTGTCTAATATATATTATTATATAATATTATTAATATCATTAATATTAATATGATATATTTCAGGGATATATATAATATTCTTCAATATTATATCATTATTATAGATGTGATAGGGGGAAATATATTTAAAAAGGTCTTATATCCTGTTATATCATATCTTATATTTAATATATCATATATTATATGTAGGGACCCGCAAATGATATAGCGGGCAGGGACCCGCCTTTTCAAAGCGGGAGGGCAGGTAAGGAATGTATAGTAAAACATCTACTTCCTAATATAAGATACCTTATAATAATATATATTATAACTCTTTATATAATAAATATATTATATAATATATAATAATATATAATTATTAATATGATATAATCATTATTATGTTAATAATAATCCTTTTCTATTAGAAGAAGGTTTATATACAAATAATAAGACATTCTCGTTTCCTGAGAACCCATATTATGATATAAATATCTAATATTAATTATTATTATAGTTTAAAGAATTAATATATATATATATATTATATAATAATATTATATTATATTATATTATAATATAATAATATATATAATATATGGTATATTATTATTATAATAATAGGAATATTAATAATATATATATTATTTAATTAAGTTAATAATTAAACAGCGAATAATAAAATGAATGAAATCATTAAACAGAATAATCCTAGAGCTTCACTTAAAGCCATACCTAATACACAATATCCAAATAAGTCTTTTTTCAATGAAGGATTTCTACTTACTCCGTTAATTAAGGCAGCGAATACAATCGCAATACCAATTCCTGCTCCTAATAATCCAATTAGAGCAATACCCGCTCCAATATATTTAGCTGCTAATACTAATTGCATATCTTTATCTTTATATAGTATTTAACTATACCCCTTTATATATTATATATTATATATATATAATTATAATTTAATCATTATTTTAATATATGATAATTTATATATTTATATTATCATTAGATATATTAATATATCATTACTACTCTTTATAAACAATAAGTAATTTTAATAGAAAATATATTATATATTTCTCTTATATATTATATTATATATAATAATATATATAATATATTACTAATAATATAAGATATATTATATATCTTCTTATTATTTATAATATATAAATTATATTAACATTTTATTAAATATAATATATATTATATATACCATAGTATATAGCTCCCCCCCTCTACAAAAAGAGGGTCTATATTATAACAGAAACCCACCTACCAAAGATAGGAATATATCAATATATAATATATGATATATATATATATTATTAATAATATAATATATTATTATATATAATATATTATTTTAATATATATAAAAAGAATATATATATACTCTCCTCCCCCCCCCCTTCCAATATTCTAATATTTCAATATTCCAATAAGGGGGGGGAATCTTTAATTATAGATAGTGAGACTTGAACTCACAATAAATGTGTGGAAGACAATTAGTTTACCAATTAACTTATATCTATTATAACAAAGATAATAATATATTATTATTACTTTTATAATTACCCATTTCTCCCCCCCCCCTATAATCCCCCTACTATATTATATTTCATAATATGAATCTATATAGGGACTCTCAAGGCGGGGGGGGGGGGTATATATTTAATATATATAATGGGTATATATATATTTAAAATATAAATATAAATATATACTTTCTTCATGATTCGAACATGAAATATTAATATTAGAAGTATTATGCTTTAACCATTAAGCTAAGAAAGTATTAATAATATATGTATATTATTTGAGAATAGTTGGAATCGAACCAAACATGAGCTGCTTAAAAGACAACTGTTTTACCGTTAAACAATATTCCCACTATATTCTCCCACCTAGAAATAGCGACCCCTGATAATATAATATATTATTATTGAATCGGTTTGATTCGAACAAACAATAACCAAACTCAAATTTTGGTAACTTACCTATTAGTTCACGACTCAATTATTATATTATTTTTATTTATTATTATATTAATAATATCCTTTATATTATTATTATTCTTTTATTTATATTAATTAATATTAAATCTCACATAATAATATATATTATATTATTCTCCCCTCCGGGGACCCTACCTGACCCCTATTTCATTACATTTCATTACATTTCATTACATTTCATTACATTTCATTACATTTAATTACATTTCATTACATTTAATTACATTTCATTACATTTCATTAGCAGGTGTCTATATATAATATATTTATTATATTATATGTTATATATATATTATATATATTATATATATGCTATTTAAAGGACTTGAACCTTTATACATTAAAGTAATACATCTTAAGAGTATCGTGTCTACCATTTCCACCAAAATAGCTATTTATACCCCCTCCCCTCGTAGATCATAGATCATAGATCATAGATCATAGATCATAGATCATAGATAATAGAGGGGGTACCTTATAATAATATTATATTATATTATCTCACTGCCCGCCATTTCATTACATTTAATTACATTTCATTACATTTCATTAGCGGGTGTCTATATATAATTTACTTA